GAGATGGGAATAAATTCAGCACTCTTCGTCTTGCCACTGTGATTCCCTGGAGGGGGAAGGATGAGGGAGGGAACGTGTGCGTTGCCTCTGACACCTGTGGGACCCACGGGGCCCGGTGGGGGGATGAAGTGTTAGAATAATGAGTGCAAGTTCATACAGAAAAATGCATGCAGTGAAAGCGAGGAATTTTTAATCAACGTCCCCGTGCCGGGTCTAGCTTCAGAAACGCGTCGTGGGCCGCGCCTCGCTACACAGTAAGCTGGAAACCTCTCAGCTTCTTCTCGGTGTGTACGTACGGGTGGGAGCGCGGGCTGCCGACACCTGTAATCCAGCAGAGGAGGCGAAAAAAAACAAACAAAAAACAAGCCACGCATGGAGGCCAGGATGACTGATGCTCGATGCTTGTGGCTTCCCAGCACACAAGCGCGTGTGGGTGATTGGCAGGAATTTGCGTATGTGTAGGGTAAAATGAAAGCAGTGGCATGTGATGACATGTCCTGTGGCCGAGCCTCGCAGACCGGAGTGCATCGTCTTTTTTTCGTTTTTTTCCCCACTCCCATCAGGGACAGAGACTGTGGCTCTGTGCCAAACACACTTCACTTGCAATTACCTATTCATCTTTGATTAACATCACCGCTCGAGCAAACAAAGAAAAAAAAAAGAGAGAGAAGGTGCAGGCTAATTGACTCAAAGCCATGCCATAAAGTGAAGTGCAGAATAAAAAGAAGTTGCATATAATTATGTACACCCAAAGAAAAAATGTGTCTATATGGGTTCGTATGAAAATGTGACATGATTATCCTGCAGAAAAGCTGAAACGTCAAAAAATAAAAATCAAACTAGAACTGAAGGCAGTTATCTACGGCTTCCAAGCTCAGCTAGTCCGGCCCAGACCTCAACCCTCCACACGCAAAATCCTACCTTAGTTCTGTCACATTAGAAGTTACAAACGCTGCAAAAGTATTCAATCCTCTTAAAATTTTTTGGCACATTACAAACTAACTTTATGGTATTTTATTGGGATTTTATGACAGACCAACACAACTTGGCACATAATCTTAAAGTGTAAAGTGTACGATGGATGGTTTTAAGTGTTTGGAGGGAATCTGTGGAAAATATTAGGATTCAACACCCTGTGCATTGATAGCCTGAAATTAAACAGACTGCAAACAGTCGTTTTTATAAAAAAAAATTGGCATAAAGCGAATACAATTTGTGTTTCCATTGCAAATGTGCAAAAAACGTTGTCAGTATTCCTCTAATGTTGAAAAAATGCAGTTAAATTATAGCTTTGCATTAAATTGTCATTATTTACAAAATCATGCAAAGTTGGCACTTTTAATGGACTTTTAATGCAACTTTTAGAGCAACTTTGCATTAAAAGTGTCATTATTTACCGAATGACACTTCATGACAACAGTCATAAACATTCATAAAGACTTTTTTATGTTCATGACAGATGTTATGTCATGTTTATGACAGTGTCATGTCAGTCTTATGGACACCCCTTCAAATAAAGTGTTACCAACACAGTCAACCACCTAAAGATGCAGCCTGGACAACAAAGCAACTATAAGATGACTTTGGAGGAGATACAGTGTGTTGCTATGACAACTAGTGGTCACCAACTCCACAAATCCTGCCTTCATGGAGCAGCGCTGAGAAACAAATCCCAGGAAGATTTTTACTATAGTCAGAGCTACAAAGGAATGGTTCAGAGCCAATTAGGCCAATTTAATCAGTTAGAATGGCTTAGTCAAAGTCCATACAGAAATCAGTTAGTGAATCCTTGGCAGGATTTGAGCATTTTTGTTCACAAATGCTTTCTATGCAGTTGATCTAAACTTGAGCTATTTTGGAAAGAATGAGCATAAAAATGTGGTGTCCTCATGTGAAAAGCTGACAAAAATTTGGACAGTATTGACTCTGAATACAAGTGCAAGCCACACTTTTCAGATTTTCATTTGCAAAAAAAGAAAAAAAAAGTGTATGGTATTTGAATTATAAATATGTTTGAAAAGATACTCTATTACTTTGTGTTGGTCTACCACAGACATCCTAATACAATACATTAAAATCAGATCCAAGGGGCTCGAATACATTTTAAATAAAGGAACTATGAACTAATTTTGAAGTGAACTATTTCACGTTAAGCCTGTTCCAAAGTCTTTCGAGTGAAGACATGTTCAAGTATGCTGCTGTTTTCCTCCCCTCAAAGCGCAGCCAGTTGGATACAGATGGCTGGTGTTTGCTCTGGGCTAACAGGCCCTGCTGTGGGAGTGGGTCAGATGCTGACTCGGCCTCTGTGGGACGCAGCGCTGCTCGGGCGGGGCAAGCTGGATTCACTCAAACAAGCAGCGTGAGTGATTAGAATATCCACCGTTTCTGATATGAGGGGTAAATGAGACTAAATGCCATGCGCTGAAAGGGAACAAAAGCCTGTTTAATTCAAACTGCGCCTGGTGTTTTTAGCAGCCTGATCGGCCCCATTTCACATGATAACCCCGCGCTCATGCAAAACGTGGCATTTAACACATACAGAAAGCGGAAACGAACAAAGGACGATGACGAGTAAGACGGTGTGCTGCGACACTGAGGAGGACACAAAGAAAGTACGAATGAAACGTGAAATTCAATTTTGAGGATGGTGCACAAACTTAAAAAAAAAAAAAAAAAAAAAAAAGGCGCATGCTAAATGTTACAAAGATAAACGAACGATGGCTTTTAGATTAAAAATGGCATTGACAGGATGTGCTCAGACACAAAGAATGGAGGGCATGCTGCTGGTGACCGCCAGCCCCGGCAGTCCGCTGGGGCCGCGGCGCAAACAGGGGCCCGCATCGCACCTTCAGTCCAAGTGTGTCGTGCACCGCGCTGGGTTCGGCCGCGCGGCTGGCCCTTCCCCTGGCCAGGGCCATCTGCAGATACATGGACGTCTAAAACAGGAAACAGCAATACAGTCTGGATGTTACGCGGCTGACGAGGGAGGATCAAGGCCCTCCTTGTGCAGTCGGGTGAATTGCATGGGCCTCTTCTGATTGCAAAACATGATGAGAAACTCCTCAAGTAAAACATTTACCGCAAAAGCAGACACAGTGCCTTGGAGAAAAGTGTACGTGCCTCTTGAACCTTTTCACTTTTTGTCATGTTACAAGCAGAACCTTCAATGTGTTTTGCTGGGATTTTACGTCAAAGGCCAAAAACCGTTTTTTCTAAATTGCTTACGAATAAAAATGGTTCACTTTTCTTCACTGGCAACCACACATCATATTGCTGCTAACGCACAGTAAGGCTACAGCCACACGTCAGGCACATGTGATTCCATATCCAACTTTTTCATGATTGTCTGAACAGCCCAATTCAGATCCCGTCATCAACTCGCCTCCCAAAAAGTCTGATTTGTGTTACTTTCATATGTGGTACTAAATTGGACGTGTTTACAGTAGTTCTCAAAGTGTCATGTCACATTTTTCAGACTTTTATGTCACTGTAGTGACTTTTGCACCAGAAGAAGTCAGATGTGATAAATTAGGATTATTTATCTTAGCTGCCTTTGCCTTGTTATGATCTTGTGGGAAATACTGTCAGCTCCCACTGCTTAACATCAAAATCGATCCAAAGACGGCAACATTATTTTCATTCCATTATTACCTCTGTAAACAGAGCAATGCTGTGTGATGTCTGTGTTGTTCCTCTGCGCAGACGGGTCGCTTCGGGGTAGTAAACTGTTCACAGAGAAGTCTGAGTGCAGTCAGAGTTAACTAGCAGCACGAACAATCACGCAAAAAACAAAAAACTTAAATCTGATTTCAGCAAAAAATTGCAGAGGATCGAGACCTGCTTTGTGAACGCAGCTTAAATGGCAGCTGGAATGTCACATTTTTAAAAAAGATTTATTTCTGAAAATTGCACAAGAGATATTCAAGTTTAGAAATGTCCTCTACAGAGGACAAAAATGAACTACTGGTAGTCAGGAGGATATCTTACGTCATTTTTTTTTTCTTAATTATTTCACATGAAATCCCGATAAAGTACATTAAAGTTTTTGGTGTACCGTCACAAAATGTGAAAAAGTTCAAGAGACTTTTAGCACACTATATATGGTCGTACTTGGTTCCACAGGAAGTACATGTTGCTGTAATTGTATGTCTGTAGGACGGCTGAACAGCAGCAGCCCTCCTGTCCTCCATTTAAATCAATGACAGCCAGATTATCCTACAACCTGCTAGAATCTGCAGCAAAAGCAAAAACATTTCACTAAAAACAGTTCCCAAAACCCACGTGTGCACACCGCTCCAAAACTATCCTCAAAGGGTCCAATCAGAGAACAACAGCCCGTCTGAATTAATAAGAACCAGGCACGTGTAAAAACTGCTTGATTCCTGACTTTTGGTTTACGAGCTGGCCCGCCTCAGAAAAGGTGCTGTTGGGGGGCACGACTCGGGCCGTCTGTTTGCTGTTCCAGAGAAAACAACAGGCCTCATTAATGGAACATTCCACTTGCACCCCATAATGGGAGCTCCCACTTCCAATTACCAAACATCCCACATGGTGGAGTCTGGCAGGTGGCCTGCCTGGATGAATGCATGAAGCGGTGGATGGATATGTGAGCGACTGGATGGAGGTCCTTGATTAGCCTTGTGGTGCTGGGGGTGGTGGGGTGGTCACAGGCGAACTGTGTGTTTTTAAAGGGAACTCATGCAAACCGTGCTCTCTGTGATCTCTAGAGGAAGCAGTAATGCAGCAGTTTAGTGCTTTTTAAAAGGGATATTCCCTTAATTGCTGTTTGGGAACAAGTGAGATATTAAAAACAAAAAATTTTTTTTAAAAATAACAGTGAGGTGTTACTGGGGAGTGTGGCAAAGTCGTTAGTTCAGGCTTCCAGTAAATGCTGAGACCAGAGAGGGAGGCGGGTTGCTTTACTGCATGTGGACACATGGCACCGAGAGCTGGTTTTCAAATGATGGAGGAAAACCGTCATAAAGGGTCGACGTTGGCCTGGTCCCAATACTCCCACTTCCACCCTTATGTCCTTCAAACGCGCGTTCCTGCTGAAGGGTTCGAGTTCCTGCTGAAGGGTTCGAGTGCGTTTTGTGTCCCAGTTCTCTTTCGCCACGTCCCCTTGGTCCCTCAAGCCACACTTTGGCTTAAGCCAAAGTGTGGCATGACATCGCTCAGAGCACAGTGGATAAAATTAGGTTGAATAGATCAAAGTGTATTACCCATAATACATTGCTGCGTGATGAATTGTGGCAGAGATGCACTAATCCGATATTGGTATCTGCATCGGTCCTGATAGTGTAAAAAAATTCTACATCAGGTATCAGTGACAATTTCCCCGATCCAAAAGGGACGATCTATTCAATCTAATTTTATCCACTGTGCTCTGAGCGATGTCATGCTTTATTATTCATTTTATTTTTATAATTCCTACACTTTCTGAACCATTTGAAAAAAGGTTTGTCGTTTAATTTTTACGTTTGACCAATGAAGTCAACATATTGTTTATGTCCGTTGTATTAAACTGTGTTGTGTTGATGCAGAGTTATCAAATACATTTGTAATTCAGTACATTTACTCTGTGCTTACAAACAACATTTTAATTCAGCACTGTTTTTCTGTATCGTCTAAAACTGAACCTCAGATGTCTGTACCAGTCTCGGATGTTAAAAAAGTGGATCGGTACGTCCCCTACATTTGCACTTGAACCTCTCTGTGCACTCTGAGTGGAGTACACACTTCATAGAGGAGCGTATGGTGTGGTGAGCGTTTTGGGACAGGGCCAAGGTGAGGCGGCAGGAGGGAAAGGTTTGACAGGTGAATCCTTAATGCTACAGGTGGAGAAAACTGTTTCCATCTACTGAGAGTGTCTTCTTTGGCTCCACAGTGTTCAGGTTCTAGTTTCTAACCTGAGGTTTACGCCCGCGGTTGACGAAGGTGCAGACTGGATTGTAGGCTCCTGTCCCGCAGATGTACAGGTGAGTCCGGTTCCATGGCTCAATTAGACGGATGAAGTTTGCACACTCTTCCTGGAAACGGGAAAAACAGTAAAATTATTCCTGAAGTGAAATCCAAATAAAAAGCAATTCATGTCATTTTATTAACAGGTGCACCGTCTGCTGATTTGCCAAAATGAAGCGGTACAAAATGTAGAAATATTAAAAAAAAAAAACTATCATCCAGTGGAAGCCACTCAGTAATCTGTTGATGTCTGCTTGGCTAGGCAGGAGGAAATCCTTTTTTACTGGGCTGATTTCAAAACCTTTCAAACTTGCCATCCACATTAGAAAGAAAAAAAAAAAATCAACGGAGAGAATTGTATACTTTCAATGTTCCATATTTTTGAAAGCGTTGATGGGAATCACCCAAACAGAACGACCCTGCAGATTTTACAAGCGCCGTCTTCGCACATACTTACGCTGGCATCCTTCCCGCTCACGAGGCATTCTGTCCGCCTTCGTTCGGACACTGGCCAATGGATCTGCAAAGGCGAGACCAGAATGTGTTTCATTGCTACGATCAAACCTGTTACGCATCAGCGTCATTTATCCAATCTCTAGGTTAAAGCTACAAATTCAAATCCACAAATGTTAATATCAGTTCTGCTGAAATGGCTATAATGTTAACATAGTTTAATAATATTTATGTCTTGCAACACATTACAGAAACCAACATCAAAAAAGTGCAGTCCAATAAAAACAACCCATAAGGCTGCAGCTGGGGGGAAGAAACAACCAGAAATGTTGATGCACTTCATTGGGAAAGTCCAAGACAAAGTAGCACATAATAGTGAAGTGGAAGGAAAAATATCCATGGTTTTAAAAAATGTCAAAGTAAAATTCTGAAAAGTAAGGAATGTCTATATTACATTCCCTTAATTCGGTGGTGGAAAAGTCGTGAAGACGGGATGCCCTACTTCAGCATGAAAAAAAAAAAACAGGCAGAAAACCTGCTGGAGGTTACAAAATCACCTGAAACTTTGACTAGACTATTGATTTCAGACCTAGCAAATGAAATTTTACTAGGCTAACCTTGAACATTCTATGTTTCAGAATGGCCTAGTCAAAGTTTAGATCTAAAATACTTTGACTATGCCATCATCTTACATGAATGTTCTATGGTATAATCTGATCCAGTTCTGACTGTATGCCTAACAAATTAACTTTCACTAGGCCATCTTAAGACATGACTAATTATGTTTCAGAATGACTGAGTCAAAGTTCAGACCCAGTTTAAATCTGAGTCAAGACTTGAAAATGTATCTTCTCTCATGATCTTCATTCAATCATACTGAGCTAAAGATACTGAACAGGCAACTAACTGTATTACGTCTCCAGATGTGCAAACCTGATAGAGACAGACCCTGACTTGTAAATGCAAGAACATATTTTGGAAAAGACGTCAAAAAGCCTTTATTTTGATTCCACCTCACAGTTGTGTGTTGCGTTGCGTTTTTGGCCTGGAAGCAGCTGCTGAGGTGAAGACGTTTATCCCAGATTAGGGTCATAGTGAAAGCCATAAATAGAAGTCTTACAATATGTGGACTCTTGTTGATGTCATGGAGGTCTAGGGACAGGATGTGGTCCTTGCTGCCAACATACATGCGGTCGTGGTCCTCATCCATACGGAGGATCCGGTAGTCGGACGCATTCAGCAGGTAGGCAAAGTGATGAGCTGTACCAGTGGACCTCAGTTCTGCATGGAGACAGAAACGGTTTTGTTTATGACAGCTGAACGCATTCATGTATGCACATTTTCTCATACACACAACTGACATACTCCTCATGCCACTGCAGCATAGCAACATGAACTTATCTGATGGTTTTCCATGATCACAACGGTAACCTAACACCGCACATTAGAGATAAGTGCTACCGAGGGGCTGTCACACTGTGTTGATGGGTTAATACCTCCTGAGTGGATCAAAAGATCTGGGAAATATCCCACCAGAGACTGCCTGTGACTTTCTGTGGGAAGTCAGAGAAAACAGATGCTGCACTCTGATACGAGGTCAACAAGTGACTTCTGTACCACAGAGTGGGGCTCCGTAACCCTCCGATGGGTTGGGGTGACCAAACTTTTTTGCAAAGGGGGCCAAATTTGGTGTGTTAAAAATGTATGGGGGCCGACCTTGGCGGATGTTCTTTACATAGAACAAAAATATATTTAAACAAATTTCAGCAAGCCATTCTGTGTTTCACATTTGCTTTTTTATTTTAATTTCAGCGATCTTAAGCATGTCTTTTGGTTCATTTGAAACATGCATATCATATGCAATTGAAAATTCATTTAACTTTTTTAACTAACTTTTTTCTAACGGTTAAACACAAGTAATTGTACTCTTGAGTGCAAACTACATTTGAAACATAAAAAAATATGTCACCATAGCAGTTCAATATTTACAGAATTTCTAAATAAAACAACAGAGAAATGAGAAAGTAATAGTCATATCAACAAGTGCCGGGCTCATTTTTTAAATATGATATATTAGTAACTATAAATGTTGATTAGATTTTTGAAAGTTTATTATTCTGGAGTGAAAACTGAAAACTTGTTTGAATTTATGACCGATTTTGATCTTAAAAAACATAATTTATTCAGAGACTTATTGTAAATGGCAAATGACTTGTCTGCATTAATGTGATGGGTGATACTGAGATCTGGACTGCAGCACATAGGCCAGGTCTGGCGCAAAATCAGTGGTATTGATGCGCAAGATGTCTGTAGTGAGAGTCCGTTAGCCGTGTTAGAACACGGCTCTTAGTTAAGTTAATAACCGAGAATGTCTTCTCACATAAATATGTCGACCCAAACAAGCTTAGCATTTTCTTACCAAATGCTCGCGAATCTCTCGAAACCCGTCTTTAAAAACCCGTCGGTAAAAGTTGGCGAGAGAAAGCTGCTGGTGCCGACCGCGGCTCTCTGCGTCACTCTGCAGATCAAAGAGCTCCAGGTGCAAATGGTCTGAGTCACACGGGCTACTGCCCTCTAGTGGGTAAACGAGGAACAGCGTTTAGTGTGTCAGCTACGCCATATGCAGGTAACAGTACTGCTGCCCGATGCGGGCCAGACGCTATTGATTTTATGGCAGAGGCTGCGGGCCGGATGAAATTTCACCACGGGCCGCATTTGGCCCCTGGGCCGGACTTTGGACATGTCTGGTTTAAACATTCCAGTTCTTGATAGAACGCCATTCTCTGAAGGTCAGAAAAGCGCGGCGAGCCCGTGGCAACACAATGTAGTGGACATGTACTGGCACGCCGAGAGGTACAAACTCTTCTGTCAGCTCGCCGTTGGAGTGTTTGTTTGATACGTTCTCCTTGGTTCAGCGACCAACTACAGGCAGAGCGGCGAAGCCGTCGCTCCAACCACAGAGGTCACACGCCCCACCATAGACAAACACACTCCTCTGACATCTATAATGAGAGGCAGGGACGGATGGCATTCACATATACTGCTGGGCAAACATGAGTGCTCGCTCAAGGAGCAGGAACGTCCTGCTTCAGTGGCGAGATTTACTCTCAATCCACCTTCGAGGAATCTTTTGAGGTTCTTTTACACTAATTGTGTGGCCAAGCTGCAGTGGAAAGAAACCAGAAGTATAAACTGTCAAATATAGTTAGCTGTGTTTGGCTTTTACACAGCGATCCAAACAGAGGTCTGCTGGGATATAACGATAGAAGCCAAGGAGGAAATGTGGGACGTCAGGCCTGTGGAGTAGTTTTTGCACACAGGGGGTTACCTGCCCTTAAAAAGGTTTTGGGGCTGTGTTTTTTTGCAAGCCATGTATGTGTAAGTCATGTTCTGTGTGGTTAAAACTGTCAAGAAACATTCCTTTGAGGTGTTTTAGAGGTCTGAACGCCCAAGAATGCATAGCCATCAACATGTCCGGCATGAGGCCTTAAAATAAACACCATCTCTGGACCTTTCCAAACAGACTCCCCCGAGGAATCCGATCTTGGCGTCTTTCCAGCCAGATCTAAATTTACCATGAGGGTTACATCAATAAGCAAGGATTAATAGCATTAGATTGGCTCTATTTGTATAGTTCGATTTAATAACTGTGTCCGCCGAAGGAATGTTTATAGGTTGGCCAGGTGATTGGCATCTGTCAGAGTTCTCTCGCACAAGGTTGGACCCCTCGATTATTTGTGTAGGAGTCTTACGCTGAATGATGAGTCCCTGTGTGTGTGTCTGCGATAGTACACACACACACACACACACACACAAGTGCACACACACTTCCCGAGGGCCAGTTCAAGTCCTTCCTGAAGCAGGTTGTCAGCAGCTCTTCGGTTTGTGTTTGTTGTCAGAGAGAAGCTGGATAAGACCATCTGTCAGCTGAGGAGGGAATGTGAGCAGCGCAAAGCAACAGTGTGCCCTACAGAGAATTGTGCATTAGGAAACAAACATGTAATCTAATCCCACAGCCATCGGATAACGAGCGCAAAGGCTCCTTTAAATCTATAATGCAGCGCGTTTGAATCTCGAGTCCCCAGATCAAACATCGGTGAATGGAGTGTCTTTCCCCATACCGCTGAAGAAACCCAACCTCGTAGATCATTCATTATGGCCAAATCAGATAAAAATGTCTCATATAGCGTGTATACCCTTTGAACTGTTTTACAGTATCTCACATTACAACCATCCATACACTCCTATGCATTTTATTTGGCTGTTATGTGACAGACCAACAGTAGGGAGGTTGAATACAACAATATTTGGAGAACCACCTGTGTTTTGATGTATTCCTTGGTCTGTACGATGCAACTCCTGAGGCTTCCACAAAACAGCTGGATTTGTACTAATATTAAACTAAACTCTATTTACTAATCGTTCTGCAGTCAATTAGTTAGATTTTATTCAGGGGTATCAGACTGACTTTAACAATGTCTCAAAACCTTTCCCAACAAATTCTCATTCCTCTTCCCTGTCTGGTGCAACTTTCTGTGGGACTGTCACATAAAATCCCAATAAAACACATTAAAGTTTGTGAATGACAATCTACTTTGACTTGTGGATACTTCCATACATTTATAACTCACAGTATGCATAGTATTTCACACTGGACTGCTTTCTAAGAACGAGAATAAAGCTGTTGGACTCTCTTGGAAAAGTCGGTCCAGCAATCAGACATCATTCCCCGTTCTGTCAGACTTTCCTCAGCTTAACCTCAAAGTCAACCTTCGCCTCAGGCGGGGCCAGGCGGCATTGTGCTCCGCTGAAATGTTGACCGAGGATGTATAATGGCAGCAGCCCAGCAGGTCTCCGGGCCGAGGCTGTTGCCTGCCAAGCTGCGTGTCACAATCAGCCTGAATGAGACGTGTAAAGAGACTGCTCTGCTCAAGAAAAACACGGTCAAGAAGCCGTTAATCATGCCGCTGTGTTAATGTGAGCCGTCATTCCCAGGAGGCGGCAAAATGAGTCGCGTTTGCTGCCGGAATCATTTAAAACGCTGGCAGCTAAATCAAATTTGCGAGTGATCCCTTTGCCATTTATTGAAGCAGACGTATAAGATTGCACCCTGGATCCCCAAACTCGCCTACAAAATTTGCAGTTGCAGATTACAATTACAGGAAAGGCTCAGGCAAGCTGAGCTGCTTTGCTCTTTGTCAGACACATTAGAACAACACAAGAGACTTATCCGTGAGATTTAAAGGCTGGAAGTGGAGCATAAGTGTGTCTACTGAAGCCAGATAAACACTTAAAGAAGCCCATTACTGCACGTAGGTTCAGTTTGTGGGGGGTTCAGTTTGTGCACCACACTGCATGTCTGAATTTGTGCACGGGACTCTAAGCGGTTCCACAGCAGGACAGAGTGAGGTACGAGCGAGTCCTGATCTGGTTCCACTCCTCAGTCTGCTGAACGCAGGCAATCCAGGCCTCTCGCCGACATCTTGTGGCGATGTTGGCCGACACGGCCCACTGCCCGTTCCCATAACTCAACGCTCCACCGCGGCTGTAAGGAAGGTCATTACCGGGGTTGGAGGACAGGGAGCGAGAGCTCAATGGCTCCTCCAGACATTCGAGCTCAATGCTGGAATCAGAGGCCTGATAAATGATAAATGCAGAGCTGATGATTGATCGCACAGGATGTGGGAAACTGACCAAGACACAGTAGCTTTATGAATTGTAAGGTAAGCAACTTACTTTTTGCATCCAGACCTGCAAGGCAGCTTAACCTCAAAGTCAGAGCTACAGGTCCACAGTGCGACCATTGTTCAACAAGTAGGATCTGATACTCTGTTGGTTTTTCGTTGAGAGTCTGGTCACTACATTGATGTAAATACAAGTATTAGATGCTTCAGCTAAACCCTCAAAGCCTTTCTACACACATAAACCTTTAAAAAGCCTTTAATCCCTCCCATACACACCAGACCTACCTGGTTTAAATGTTTAAATCTACCCATTAGGGACATGAAGAGCATTTCAATTGTTTCTTAGCCTGCAACTACACAGATCTTGCAGCTTTGAGTATTGAAGGATACTGAAATTCACCCATACTATATCATCACAAATCATACAAAGTTTTATTATTTTGTAGTGTGGAATGTTATAGAAGGTTTGATCAAGTGTTATTAACAATAGGTATAAGAACAACCGACCCATTTATTATTAACTAGCATGTTTGTGTGCGGGACACAAAGTGGTGCTGGACAGAAATGCTGGAGCGAAAATTTGGAAATTTTAGATGC